CCATTACCTATATTCCAGCAGTAGGCATTTTGTCTCTGAAAAGATGTTCAATCCTACTGAATAGTGCGTGACTGTATAATTTACGGTAAAATTTTTTCATAAAAATGAAAGTTGCAATCACATTTCAATATCACGTTGTGAGTGATAATAAAAACTTTGTACATCAATATTCATTGCATTGCATATACTAATTATCACCAAAGGAGTCGGTAACATTACGGTACGGAAAACAAAATAACGATATTTAATGTAGTCTATAAAGTGGCTGAAATAAATATTTTGAGTTGGGCTACCATATAAATTTAATTGTTGTATTGAGGTGTGATGGTGTTGTGATTTTCAACCATTCTGAGACAAATTAATTCATCATATACTGCTACCGGACTGTGTCCTGGCCGGTGAGAAGCCCCGCCCTCAAGATGTGCAGTAGATGTGTAGAAATCTATTATCAGTCTCTCAGATTACTCGAGCCGTAAACATTCAAACTCAGGGTCGTATTCAGTTAGTGATGGAGTTTAAAAGTGAATTGCATATACATATGCAATTTTACGACCCAAACTTTACGCAGATACGATTTCTCCCACCGGCCATGACTCACTCCGGGGTAGCTGTAATATTTATAAGGAAATATATATCTGACCGACAATAAAATAATCTACGTCTTCGTTAACGTTTCTTGGTTATATTTTCTACTTATTCAGAGCTTAGATATAAATATGGTACTTACAGAGTACTTTGTCAGTACGCGAATATGTTAGCACTGTAATAGTGCCTCAATAAAATAAATACACTGCATTTTTGGAACCCGTGTACATGGTCTTGTACAGACCATGTACAGGAACAACTTCAGTTATCCTATGAAGCAGCTAAAGGACACTGTCGCTTTGTGCAGATCAAAATCACAATTTTGGACATTCAACTTTTGAAATTGGCTGAAACACGTTTTGTTCTCAATGCTTGTCTTATCAATAATATTATGGCTACTGGACTACCAAAGTACCTTGCCTCAAAAATAGTTCGAAGGGAGGACATTCACAACAGATCACTGAAGAACATCAATGATAGATTTTCTATTCCTGTCCATCGTTCTTCAATTTTCTAGGCATCCTTTTCCTACTTAGTACCTTATCAGCTAAATAAAATGCCCTCAGAGTATTTTAATTTATCTGCAACTTTTCTGAAGAGAAATCTCAATGAGGCTATCCTGAATGGGTAGCTGAGTTCCATAAATTCAAGCATATTTTAATCTTGACTTCTCGTCAACTTACTGAAGAAGCTCAGGACAATCTCAGCGGTTGATAGATTCACCACAAGGAACAGTTCAGTTTCCCGTATATTGCACCCAACCTTTAGAGCTAGTTACACGGTACCGGCTATCAACATGCCTCATCTACGGGAGCCCGAGACTTTCCAGGAAATGCAAACTCATTACCTACATTACAAATCTCATAATAACTGTCTCAATAAAAAATGATTCTTTGTACTGCTTTAGAAGAGAATACGAGCGAACACTTTTTTGTCTTAGGTGGAATCGATTTTCGTTTCAAAAAATTGAGTTTTCGATTTCTAATACATAATTGGCGCAGTTGGTAGGATCCTCACCGTCGTGAAAAAGAATATTGTGCAAAAAATCATTTTCGTGACATTGTAGTTTCAAATTCTTCAGCGAGAATCGAAGGGATTCAGGAAGCTCTTTGCAAAGAAAGGATTGGAGGGGGGGAAAGAAAACAGGAGACTGAAAGGGTCAATTATCAAACTTTAGTTCCAAATTCCTTTTCGACTTTCCCCAACCCTCTTTTTGAAGATTTTGGGAAAGATAAGAGTTGTGGCGTTAATTCCAACTAAATATTATAGATTGACATTAGATTTACTTGTGAAAATATATATTCATAATTAATATTTACTGAATTTGAAAGTTAAATTGTTGACGATCTATAGATACTGAGTTTCTATTGACCAAAATTAACCTTTAGTCCAAACTCAACGCATTCATGATCCAACACCAGACAGTGCTGTTTCGACCCGGCACAGGTCTCATCAGTTGTGAATTGTTTTTTTTAATTTTTGCAAGGCTAATATCGGTTTAGTGGTTTTATTACATTTGAATTTCTATTCTAAACATATACAGGGTGGTCAAACAAAAACTGTGAACAATTTACAAAAACAAAAATGGTATCTGATTCGAAAGTAAGCCTTGATTTTCCTACCGATTATTATTATCATATCAGAGACTGGGGCCACGACATTTGTGTCAATACAATGTCTCCATTGAAAAAATCTATCTTTTTTTAGCCTACTTTACCTACAAACGATACTAATAAATGTAGTAATGTTCATTTTTTTGTAGTCTCATCGGTTAGTGAGAAAGCACATTCTCAGTAACCGATTAGACTACAAAAAAATGAACATTATTACATTCATCAGTACCTATCGTTTGCAGGTGAAGTAGACTAAAAAAAGGCAGATTTTTTTCAAAGCGGGTTCCAGCGTGACGGAGCTTATTGAATTCCTTTGCAAAAATCGTGCTATTTCAATAGTCCGGTAGTTGTGCGATAAAGGCGCTGAAATTAGTAATTCAGTTCCAAAAGATTATTAGTTTCTATTTGAAAAATTTTTGTGACCACATACACTGAGATATCCTCCTAATCTGTCAGAGGTTGAAATTCATTTGAATTATTCAAATTCTAATGCACTTTTTCACTAACCGGGATAACTGCATAGGTGAAAACTATATGCATGATAGTGCCTCGTTTCATACTGTTTACAATTTTTTGTCACCAGTTTTATCAATAGGGAGTAAAAATGACGGTATCGACGTCACTAACATTTTCTTCTTCCTGTATTCTTGTGCGTGCGACGTTGCCAACTTGTTATTAAGGTCGATTTGATGGTCATTTTCGAAATTTAGAAGCGTTTTATATCACAAAACGGAGTCTTTATATTTAAAATTTTGTTCAAGAGATATTTGATTGAGTAGTACATTCATGTACTTTTTTCTCCTTTACGAAAATCATTCATTTTGGAATGCAATTTTAAAGAGGGGGCAAGTCTCAATAGTAGTGACGTCACATTCATTCTTGAAACTCCGAATTTCCTCCGAAATGGAAAATTTTGGAGTTGCCTCCTGAAGAATGAACAATTTTCTTTCAGAACTGAAGAATAACATCAACTTCATAAATTTTTTCTAGGGAATTGTAAAGGTCTATTGGCAGTTATGATTGCTGTGAATAACTGAGGCATGAAAATTATTTCATCAATAAACTTTCGCTTGTTACAAGTTTGTTGTGAGTTTGTGACACTATACCCAGTCTGAAAAATAATTCTAAAATCAATCTTATGTTTAACCACCTGTATTTATAGTTAGCTTTAGACGCTACCCTGTTTTCCAACCAAAGCTTCAAGCAGTCTCGCTTTCGCTTTCGCATTCTTATAAGCCGCGTATATACTCTCCATCGGAGCTCTTTCCTCCTTCTGAATCATCTTTCCCGTTTTGAGCTGGATATTCATTTCAAATTCTTTTATTTTTCGCTTCAACCGCTTTTTCTCTTCCATCGCTAGTTTGAGCTGTTCTATCATTTCGGATTTGGAGAGCGAGTGGAGGTTTTCGCCCACAGAACTGTCCGAGTCGCTGCTGTCGGTGCTCATAGATGGCGGTACCGTCGTTTTCTCAGATTCGGTGTCGTTTGATTGGGACGAAGAAGTTGGTGTTACGAAGTTCATCGTTTCGTTCTCGTGGATGGTGGCCAACTCGGCCCCGGAGGGGTTATTCTGGAAAGAAAATTAAATTATATTTCGTTTATAGATCATTATAGATTGTAAAGAAGTCGAAGGTACTTTTCAGTTTCACAAATATTTCTCCTACTGAAGCTAGAATAGCTCTTTTAGGTGAGTTTACACTCGAAATGGTGAGAGTTTTCCTAAGGGATGTATGACTCTAGGCCCACTTTGTGTCAAAAACGCAACCCGGCTTTGTCGCGATAATGGGGGGCTTTGCTGTGCTTCCCCTATATACTCGTGGACTATGCAGAACCAAAAAATCCGACCTTAAGACTACAGATGATATGGACTTAACCCGACTACCCGTAACATCGGAAAAGAGCAAGATCTTAGTCCTCCAACTCTCAATCCTGCTTACAAACCTAGGAGGTAAGGTGATGCAGCTAGGAAGCGACTTATTACCTCTTCAACAGCGAGATATCTAATGAATCTCTTTTGTAGCAAACTCCTGAGCAGCAGAAGCAAAATCTGCATCAGAAGAGAAAACAAATTATCCTTGAGCACGTCAGCAAAAGCTTACGTTCAAACGATGATTCACACAAATCAATGGAGTGAAAATTGTATCATTAGGTTACAGATGCCTTCATATTGGAAGGTTGCTGTGGTCAGCTGGAAATCTGCATCTTAAATATCTGACAACCACAATATCGACCTATCAAATGAAATCTCTCCAGTATGTCATCATGGCTGTCGCAGAGGGTGTTTCAGAAGATGGTTCACAGGTACTATTCCAGATTTGCACATTTCGACCTGGATGACTAGAGGTGACTTGGGAAGATAAATAGGGTGCCTCCTGTATGGTGGGTGCATTTAGGATCCTGCAGCCATGGGAGAGCGTCCCTCTGAAGGGCATTACAGCCAAGCCACACATTAGTATTGCTTACGTACCTGACGAAGGTAGTAGCCTAATGGACCAGATCAGATCCTCACTATTTGAGGAAAATGTACCATGCTATGTCAATTTTGGAGTAGATTCAGGTTTTCTGCCTTTGGTAGATTCCAACTCTCGCTAGTTGACCTGAAAGATCACTCAGCAAATCAAGTAATTGGTTTCGTCACGAAACTGGATTTATTCGGTAGAGAATAACCCTTTGCGGGTTACAGTGGAGGGTTATTTTCCTGCAGGTTAGACTTTTCATGGCAGAGATTGAAAGAATTATTTCAAGGTATTTGTAACTTTTGCGGAATACAGTAATATACTGAGATGATACTTCAGTGTCCTATGTGACCTATGAGGTATGTTGTTACTAGTCTTAGGTCCATCTTATTCAACGCCAGAGTCTCTTGAACTTTCTTTGAGAACGGGCTGAGCAACCTATTCTCAAATTTAATTTATTATTTGCTCAGCTCAAGGCTGTCTAGATTTAGTGAACCATTTTCCTATCAGATCCCTAGAGAAGAACGAACAACTGGTTCGTTTTATTTTGGGTTGTACTAAGAGCTTGAAGGGAAGATTTTGCAGAAAGACGTCGTACGACTCAACCAAATTTTCGCCAATTGATAATAATACCATCCTTTCTGATTCATTGTATATTTAACGTTTTGACCAGTACTCATACAAGGGAATTCACCATATAGTGATCAACACTATCCAATTGGATATCGATATTGGAAAAGTAATGAGTACTTGAAAAATTTTGTCCATATTCTAAACTTACCGCAGATATTTTTCGTTTCAATGTCCTGTACCTATCGTAAAAAGGTCTGACAATGTCGCGATCCTCCCTGGAGTTTGGTCTACCGTGGATAGACTCTAAGAAAAGTAATGCTTTCTGTACGGCTATCTTCTCCTCCATCAGTTGTTCTGCAGACATTTCCTCTATGTTGAAGCTCCTGTTCGCTGCTTCCCTCTTTGCAGTCAGTTTCTGAAAAACGAGACAAATTCAATGAAGCCATTATTTTGACGAAAACGGGTGAGTTAGGAATTTATCACTTGAACTAACATAAACATTTCTCCCACACACCTCAACCCGTTTCATTAAAAAAATTGGCGTCATCAGGTGTTGACTAACCTCTGTGAGGTATCTTGTATAAATGTCTGTTGGATATAATTCAATATCAAGCGTGGTATTAGCCGGGGAAGTAGTTGTTTGCCAGCAGGCATTTACCAGAACCTACGGTGTGATAAACATCGACCAGGGTGATTCAGTATTTGAAGAGAACCAGAATAGACTTCATCTAAAGAGCACTGGAAGCAACCACAATTGTTGAGTAAATTCTTACACTACTTCAGAGAACATCATTTTTGAAGAGAAACGAATAAAAATTGCAGAAGTTGGTACAACAAGTCTATGGAAGATATTGAAAAACATGTGATTTCTACACCTTTGGACTGTTGTACATAGGAGATAGTTTAAAAAAATACATCAAAACAGTTATTCTATCACATATAGTGCAGATGTAAAAAGTCCTCATTCTTTCTCAATTTATGAATGTGACAAGATATCAAGGTCGGACAAAATTTATGTAATTTTTAGTACTTTCTAATGAAAAAGTCAAGAGTTNAGTACTTTCTAATGACCAAGTCAAGAGCTCTTCGTCTTTAGGGTACTATTTTTTTTAGAAAATGGAGAGTTTTATATCTGTATGAGAATTCTCACTATTCAAGATTCCCTTGCATATATTCATATCTAATTTCTTGTCATTATTTTCAATTAACTGAATTTAATCAATCGTACCTATATGCAACTAAGTGGCCGTACGCCCATGGCATTTATACCTGCTAATAGAAAACATGCATTCCTGTACTCCAAGGGTACTCCAGTGCGAAAACAAGGCAGAGACGTTAGTTTCATGTGAAAGACAGTGATAACAAACCCGTCTTGTCTATTGAAGTCATTTATTCTGAAATCTTGTACAAAGTTATACCTTTCTCAGAAAATAACATAATTTACAGTCCATTTATCATCAAATAGAATATATTTTTAACAAAGCATAGGGTCATCCAACATGGACTTCGAACTTTGACAATGGGGAATGTTCCTCCTGACGAAAATCAAGTAGTTTTCATGAAAGAGCTCTAAAACAACGCATTTTAAACTTATCATTTCAACCTTTTTCACTAGGTACGTATGAATTATTTCAACTTGATATAGGCGCTGTTGCCAATATGTTAATTAGAAACAAATCCCTTTAAAAATTAAAACCTAACATTCAAAACATCAATTTGAATACTTTTCGGAGTGAATTTGAAAAACTCATGAATTAAACTCAACTTAATTTTGTTCAAACTTGCGTTTGCTGTAATAACCCAAATTGAGGAACATTCCCCATTCTCAGATGGATGTCTGTCAAGGACTGACACATCCATCTTTGGCTGTCTGTTGAAGAGATACATTTGTGAACAGATCTCTTCAATTGGATGTATAATACACTTAACAAATTAATAAATGTTCAATCACATGTTAATTACTGTTTATTTTTATTATAAAGTTTCATAAACTATACCTCATGATACCTCACGGAATGTTTTGCTAACACAGTAGCTTTTTCATAGAGAACTACCCACCTAAGTACGTTATTCACTACTATTACGTTACTACGATATTAAATAAGGCTCAAAATATTAATAGTGGCTATGTTACCCATTGATCGAGGTTTTTTATCTTATTCCAACAAAGAGTCCTCTGATTTTTGAAAATATGATTTTCTTACTTTGTCTCAAAAATTTCATCCCATTTTTAGTTTTGCGATCTAGAGTCTGCTTGCTTTTTCTCCAACTTACCTTTTCTATCTCGCTTATGGTGATCTGCAGGCTAACCAGGCTCAGCTGTTCCGACTTCTCTCCCGCGTTCATCAGCAAAGAACAGCTGGAGGAAATTTCCGCCAAGTGCTTCTGCTCCTTCTTGAGTTTGTTGATGTCGGCATAGAGCTTCTTCAAATTCTTATCGTTCATCTTATCTGTGTGCGAGGGTAAGTATCCGTGCTTTACTTCAAAGTCCGCCTCACATTTCTTTATCTTCTTCTTCAAGCTGTTGATCTTCTTCGCGGTTTTGTGCAATCTTTCATCCACGGGGTTTTGCGGCTTCTTATCCAAATCTGAGGTCGTTTTGGGAACGTCCGGGTCGAGGTATATTTTGTGGGTCGCTATGATCGAGTTCCTAGGAGATGATAGAAGACGGTTCAAGGCCACCGATAACCCGGGCATGGTTTCCGTATTTTCGCTGATCTGCCTGGAAGTTTGCGCCAGAACAGGCTCCGAACCATCAACCAGTTCGTGGATGGTGGACCAATCGACCACCGGAGATACGAGCTCTTCAGTAGGGCTGGGCGATCGGCCTCTGTCGTGGCCGTGGATCTGGAGGAAATCCGAAGGTGGTTCGTAATCGGTGGTTTTGGAGATCACAGGCGGCGTCGCTTTCTTAGGCTCTCTGTTTTCGATTGGTGGTTCGGGCTTGTATTTCGTCCTCGGGAAATATTTGACCTTTAAGCGTTTGTTCGGGTGCTTTCGGCTCTTGAGGGTTAAGGGTCTAGCGAATCTTTCGTGGGACCTAGAAAATATTTATAATGATTATTCATTTGGGAATGTTTTGAACAAAAAATAGAAGCAGGTATGATCATAGAGTGTGAGAAAACAATAATCACAAATTCCATAACAGTTTATAGATGTTACTTTGCGTCTGTTTATGAATAGGTACAGTTTTGTCGAGATGTTTGATTAGGTAAAACTACAGATGGGTCATCGAATAGGGACTGCAATGCAAAAATCCAAAAAATTGTCAGGTTTCTTTATAAAGTGAGTAAGTTTTGATCTAAAAATAATTGTAAGAAATCGAAAACCCTTTTCACTGAGGAATTTAAATATTTTAGGGGCAACTCTTCGATTAAAGGTTAAAGCTTTTGCACAGGTTTTTGTTTTTATGAAAAAAAAATTCTTGACAGCTACGCCTTGCGGTACATGGTCGCTAGTCCACCCTGTATATAGGTGTTGCATAGTAGTTCAGAAATCAACTCCACTGTTTAAGCTTTTGTATAAAATATTGAATGAGCTCCTATTCCACTTGATTGTCAAAAAATACTGACAGAATTTCAATAGTTTTTGTTGATTCTTGTAGTTACATTATGAGGCCGAGGTTACAATAATAACAAAACATCACGATCTACTAGTCAGGGTCGAGCGCGTTAAAATTATACAAACAAATTTTATTATTTGCAATTTCAGCAACATTATAATCACATTTGTTTCTAACTATGAAATCATCTTTAATAAAGGCAATTTCGTTGTCAAAATTGTGTGTTGGGGATGAATTCACTTTGGCTCTATCATAAAGTGATTCAATGCATTTCCAGACATTATCCAATAATTTAGAATATACACTGGCCAGAAGACTACAAGAATTTCTCAAGTAAAAGAAGTCGTTACAACCTGTGTTCTCTGTTCCACTGACGTGAGGAATAACGTCAGACAATACTCTGATGTCAGGAATTACGTCGAAGATGAAACGTACTAGAGCTAAGTACAACTTAGAACGATTCAGATCAGAGGACACAGAACGTAAAAGTATAAAAAATACCAAACCACCTAATGCTAATAACTCTAAGATCTACTTTCACAGGAAGTCATTTGACGACGATACGATGTAAAGAGCACAAGAACACCCAACTAGAAGAAAAACCACCAAGTGGTCCAGAAAGTCAAGACTAGGATCAAGATCATCCAAGTGAGAGATGAGAAGGAACACTAGTTTGAAAGGAAGTTCAAAGAAGTCACGTTTATTTTAAACAACGAGGCATTCAGTGAGGTTAGCATGCCAATTCTCAACTCGTTGAAACTTTTAATCGAGCAGGAACTTATTTCAACAGCGTGAGAACTTATTTCAAGACAATGAGGGTCAGAACTTAACACATTGTTGGTGGGTTGTTTCTTACGAAAGAAATGCGTGATATTAGCCGAGATCCCTCTCCCCCTCGTGCAATTCGACTCGACCGCCTCCCTCACTAAACGCCTCACGTAATTAATAGATCCCCTAATCACTTTTCAACGGGTTTCGCCAACTTTTTATTATAACCCCACATTTAAAGTTTTTGAACCCGAATTTCACAAAATTCTGGAATTATATTTTGGAGTTTCTTATGTTTGGAATAGATGTTTCACTAGAATGTGTGAGTTTATTTTATTTCAAATATCTATAATTAGGGTTATTGAAAGAGTACCTATCATATTCTTGATAGGGACTACCGAACTTTGACAATTGATTACAGTCAGCTTCTTGAAGTTACTCTGTCAAATGTCATTTATTCAATCTGTTTTGTCAAATAACCATGGATGGATATAGCATGAAATTGTTTTATCAAAATGGAAAACGAAATTCAAGGTTATTTTAGAATATTTTGTGGTAAATTTCTTATAATCAACTACAAAAACGAAAAACAATAATAACAATAGCGAATAAACTAAACACAATATCAATTTCCGACCGTTTATTATAACTAATCCGATGCTCGTCGTACCGTCGAATCCTTCGATACTACAGCACTGAACGCGTTGGATGAGAACTCATCCTAAGAGCGGTTGAAGATCCCGGGCAACTCGGACGGATCACGTGTAAGAGAGCCTACTGGTTGTATTATTCTACTGTGTTTGAACGATGTTTCATTCCACACATAATGGCATTAATAGGTCTTTCAACGAATAAAAAATTTGGATGATATCTCACATACAATTTGTTTGATTTAAATTTAAAGAGAGGAAGCGGCTAATGAACTTTATATTCCCATTACCTATATTCCAGCAGTAGGCATTTTGTCTCTGAAAAGATGTTCAATCCTACTGAATAGTGCGTGACTGTATAATTTACGGTAAAATTTTTTCATAAAAATGAAAGTTGCAATCACATTTCAATATCACGTTGTGAGTGATAATAAAAACTTTGTACATCAATATTCATTGCATTGCATATACTAATTATCACCAAAGGAGTCGGTAACATTACGGTACGGAAAACAAAATAACGATATTTAATGTAGTCTATAAAGTGGCTGAAATAAATATTTTGAGTTGGGCTACCATATAAATTTAATTGTTGTATTGAGGTGTGATGGTGTTGTGATTTTCAACCATTCTGAGACAAATTAATTCATCATATACTGCTAAATAAAATGCCCTCAGAGTATTTTAATTTATCTGCACCTTTTCTGAAGAGAAATCTCAATGAGGCTATCCTGAATGGGTAGCTGAGTTCAATAAATTCAAGCATATTTTGATCTTGACTTCTCGTCAACTTACTGAAGAAGCTCAGGACAATCTCAGCGGTTGATAGATTCACCACAAGGAACAGTTCAGTTTCCCGTATATTGCACCCAACCTTTAGAGCTAGTTACACGGTACCGGCTATCAACATGCCTCATCTACGGGAGCCCGAGACTTTCCAGGAAATGCAAACTCATTACCTACATTACAAATCTCATAATAACTGTCTCAATAAAAAATGATTCTTTGTACTGCTTTAGAAGAGAATACGAGCGAACACTTTTTTGTCTTAGGTGGAATCGATTTTCGTTTCAAAAAATTGAGTTTTCGATTTCTAATACATAATTGGCGCAGTTGGTAGGATCCTCACCGTCGTGAAAAAGAATATTGTGCAAAAAATCATTTTCGTGACATTGTAGTTTCAAATTCTTCAGCGAGAATCGAAGGGATTCAGGAAGCTCTTTGCAAAGAAAGGATTGGAGGGGGGGAAAGAAAACAGGAGACTGAAAGGGTCAATTATCAAACTTTAGTTCCAAATTCCTTTTCGACTTTCCCCAACCCTCTTTTTGAAGATTTTGGGAAAGATAAGAGTTGTGGCGTTAATTCCAACTAAATATTATAGATTGACATTAGATTTACTTGTGAAAATATATATTCATAATTAATATTTACTGAATTTGAAAGTTAAATTGTTGACGATCTATAGATACTGAGTTTCTATTGACCAAAATTAACCTTTAGTCCAAACTCAACGCATTCATGATCCAACACCAGACAGTGCTGTTTCGACCCGGCACAGGTCTCATCAGTTGTGAATTGTTTTTTTTACAAAAAATCAAAATCATAATCAACCTGTTTCGGAAATGATTGTTAACTGATATTGTTAATTTAGTTTCTAATAAATTTAGTGGTCGCACTGTATATAAGTTGAGGTGAGTTCAACTGGATCGTCGTGTGTACTTGGCAACTTTTTTCAAACATTTTTCTATATATTACTAGCCTTACCTTCTCTTCTCATGTTCGCAGTCCTCGTACAACAAAATCTTGTCGCTGGTTCCGCCCCTGTACGGCGACGCATTCCTTTCCGAAGACGTCGACCTCTGACTCTGGAAGTCCTCGCTGCTAGACACTCTCCTGATGCTGTCCACTATCTCGACGTGTTTCTTCTGCGTGGGTCGCTCTTCCGAGTTGGACCTGATCACTTTCCGCTCCTGGTACAGCGAGCTGATGCTCTCTTGTCTTTCTTTTCGCTTTCTCGCTTTGATGGCCGCCTTCGCTTCGTCGAACGTGGTGGGGATTGTCGGCGCTTTTACGGTGTTGGCGAGTCTTTTCGCCTTGCACGTTTTCGGCGAAGCATCATCTTTCCTTGTAGGTCCTTTCATTCTTCGTGCTGTGGAAGAGATGGCAATGTTTATTTGAGAATATTTCATTTGTTCATTGGAGCATTGGAGGACCACATTTCATTCTCACTTTTCAATCGACGTTCAAACTGGCGATTAGCAATAAGCGACAGTTCACAGAATTGTCTATAATCAACAGTGCAAACTGTCGATTATCTATAATCAACAATTCAAACTGTTTATTAGACATAATCGACAGTTCAAACCATCGATAGTCCAGACTATCGATTAGCCATAATTGACAGTTCAGAATATCGATTAGCCATACTCGACAGTTCAGACTATCGATCAGCTATAATCAACAGTTTAAACTCTCGATATAGCTATAATCAACGATACAAACTTTCAACAAGTCATAATCGACAGTGCAAACAATCGATTGGCCATTATCAACGGTTCAGACTATCGATTAGCCATAATCGACGATCCAAACTGTCAACTAGCCATAATCGACAGTTCAGACTATCGATTAGCTATAATCAACACTTTAAACTCTCGATATAGCTATAAACAACGATCCAAACTTTCAACTAGCCATAATCGACAGTTCAAACAATCGATTAGCCATAATCAACAGTTCAGACTATCGATTAGCCATAATCGACAGTTCAAACTGTCGATTATGGCAATCCACACTATCTACAATAGCCACAATAGACAGTACAAACCATCGATTGGCCATAATTAACAGTTCAGACTATCGATTACCCATTATCGACAATTCAGAATATCAATTAGCCATAATCGATTGTTCAAACTGACGATACAGCTATAATCAACGATCCAAACGGTCTTATAGACATACTCGAAAGTTCAGACTATCGATTAGCCATAATCGATAATCCAAACTTTCAACTAGCCATAGTCGATAGTTCAAACAATCGATTGGCCATTATCAACGATTTAGACTATCGATTAGCCATATTCCACAGTTCGATAATCCAAACTGTCTAATAATCAGCCACAATCAACAGTACAAACCATCGATTGGCCATAATCGACAGTTCAGACTATCGATTACCCATTATCGACCGTTCAGACTAGCGATTAGTCGTATTCGATTATTCAACTTGTGGATATAGCTATAATCGACGATCCAAACTGTCTAATAGCCATAATCGACTGTTCAAAATGTTGATACAGCTATAATCAATGATTCAAACGGTTTAATCGACAGTTCAGACTATCGATCAGCCATAATCGACGATCCAAATTGTCAACTAGCCATAATCGCCAGTTCAAACAATCGATTGGCCATAATCAATGGTTCATACTATTGATAATTGACAATCCAAACTATATATTAGCCACAAACGACAGTACAAACCATCGATTGGCCATAATCGATTGTTCAAACTGCCGATATAGCTATGATAGACGAATCAAACTGTCTATTAGCCACGATCGACTGGTGAAACTGTCGATACAGCTATAATCGGCGATCCAAACTGTCTATTAGCCATAATCGACAGTGTAAACCATCGATTGGCAAAATATATTACTAAATAATAATAATAATATTGAAATATCAATAATAGAACAAAAATAGTGGAAGAGAAGCGTTCTGGCTAAAAAATGTGGGAATCTTCCGATGAAAGTAGAAAACCAAAACCTTTCTTTTCCAAAAATTGANAAGAAATATTACAGAACCAGACTTAATCCTTTGTGTAATATTAGAAAAACCCAAGAGAGCAAATACAATAGGGTCCTTTCATAATTCTACTAATTTCAAATATTTCTCTAGATTTGTGATGGATTACGGAGCAATAGATAAGCTGGCCATTTATAAGCTTTTAAGGATTTTGAGGGATACAATCTTAGGTATAAAATCTAATTAAAATTCAAATGCTTAAGAATTTCGAAGTACTAATCTTACGGCTTGGTATTTTATAAAGCAATCCCGTTAAAAGGCGCAATATGATAAAAATAATAAAATGTGGATTTAATAAAAATTGTACTATCAATATAATAATTGAGATGAGACTCAACATGGCCGCCCCCCTTGAACTACTGAGTTCAAGGAAATGAGAGCATTGGGAAACCGCTATTCTATCGGCAGTGGACATAGTTTCTTGCTGCACCGCTTATATTCGCCGTTCTTGGTCCTCACGGTTGCAACTCGTATGACGCCATCGGGACCCGGATGTGTAGCTATGATGCGGCCAATGGTGGCAGATTGTCTTCATGCATGATAACCAGATCGCCAACTTGAAGTTCAGGTCCTTTGGTTTGACGGTGAAGACTGATGATATTGTTGAGATATTCATGATGCCATCGATTCCAGAAGTGCTGTTTCAGCTTCTGAGCATGCTGCCAAGCTGAGAGGCGGTTTGCAGGAAGGACCGCCAAATGTTCCTGTGGAAACGAAGTCAGTGGACCACCAATGAGGAAATGACCAGCGCTTAATGATTTTTATTGCTCTGTAGCGAACAAACTCACTAAAAAAATATCGTCATCTTCAAATCCTTTACAGTTTCTTTATAATGTCAATATATCTGATAGTTTCTTCTTTTATGAAACCAACCCCGACGAATAATTAGTGTTTCTCAAGGACATCAAAAACAAGAGGAGTGTAGATGATATTTCTATTAAAATATTAGAAACTCTACCATTTTCAACTTTGGATGTCTCATCACATCTTATCAATCTGTCTTTTCAATCTGGAGAGTTCCCATCGTTCCTGAAGACTTTTCTCATAATACCCCTCCATAAGGGTGGACCTATACTGATGATCCTTCCAATTTCAGGCCTATAGCACTTATTCCTGCCCTTGCAAAAATCATAGAAAAACTGGTCAAAATAAGAATGTTATCGTTTTGTAATGCCAATAACATTCGTACTCCTCACCAATTCGGATTCCAAGAAAATAGGGGTACTAATGATGCAATGTTCTCCCTTCTAGAAACAGTTTATTCCCATTTTAATGCCAATGAATCGCTGGCTGCAATTTTCTGCAACCTATCGATAGCATTCGACTGTGTCAACCACGAGATACTTCTGAATAAATTGCAGAAGTATGGTTTCCGAGGCATCACCCGTCAATGGTTCCACTCATACTTATCGGGACGCAAACAAATAGTCAAAACATCTAAATACTCTGCTGAACAGTTCATCAAATGTAGAGTGCCGCAAGGCTCGATCCTTGGCCCAATTCTATTTCCCATCTAAATAAATGACTTAGCTTTCATAGATATATCAGCCACTATCACCCTCTTTGCTGACGACACCACCTTATTATGGCACAACACAGATAACGCCATTCTGTATGAGATCATCTCGGAAGACATAAAAAAAATTAAAGAATGGTGCGACTGTAATAAATTATCTTTCAAAATAAGAAAAACCAGCATCCTTACTATTCGCTGCATTTTACCTGAGATCTGTCTTGGTAACGAAATCTTAGAAAGTATACATACTTATAAATTTCTTGGGCTGAATATATTTTATTAATAACTGCTTACATTTATTAAAAGTTTTTTTTCAATTCTAGATTACTGTCTTTCTGAGAATGTTCCGTAGATGGTGACTCATAATCTTCAGTATTATCTTGTTAATTTATTTCAATGTTTTCTTCGCCCCCCAGCAAAGCTTCCACAAGCTCTGTAACAAACAGTGAATACTCAGTTCCAGCAGTATCTTCTTCATTCCCATTGTTGAATTTGTGATGTTCAATTGTATTTTTTTTGCCATTTTCACAAAATCTCCTTTGCAATGTTTGCAAAGAGGCGAACATGGATGTCAGGTCTTTCTGTAACCTCGTCTGTTGGAACAGTTTTTAATGCAATTGCAGTGGACCAATTTCAACAGATTACCAAGAGCTTATTTTCCTGTTTTGATTGGCAGAAACATAGTTTCCGTGTTCATCCAGTCCCAATCTTCCAGATTCAGCTTATTACCAAGTCAATATTGCACTTGGTAATACATTCTGAAGGAATGGAAACTAAGTGTTCCTGAAGCAGGAGGAAGGATTGCTCGGTTTATTACTTTTTTGGACTTTTTCAGTCCGTCTATGAACTTTGTAACATGACGTTGGCTCGCAGATACATCGCTTTAAGAATGGTAAGGACATCGAGCGAGATTTAAATCGGACATAACCTTGAAATTTATGGAGACAAATAGGGGCGGACCTTATTTCCTTCAAACGATCGCGAGAAGACGTACTGACCGATCCGTCAATTGATGTTTATGAGTATGAGAGAGAGATGGAGCACTAGAACGCCCAACACTTCTTACATACAATCGCATTTGCTGCAAACAAAGTTTGGCAATGTGGCATAAGGAGAACGGTATTGAAATTTTATTCATAACATTTCAGGTAGGAACTAGGAAGAGCGATGTTAGATAGCGATCTATTGTTTACACAGCGTAGCTCTATAGACATAAAATGTTTTTCTTCTGTGGTCTATATACGCATGATTCTTCCGAGACTGAAACTTCATTTGAAATAATTTAAACTCTTTCTCCAAGGTATATTTGAATTAAGTACTTATATAATAACTCTATTTATATCTTTCCA